GTAATGTTGAAATTTTTAGTACCTGTAACACTGCACCAACACAAGCTGAATGAACCAAGGTATGAACTACACGTATGTATTTAATCGTTGAGTTAGTCCTCTACTAAACTCCTGGAAAGAGAAAACAAAGCAAAACATTGTGAGTCTATTTCATGATCTGAAACTTTCTGTAACAATTAGATCCCAACTCAGATGACCACTCACATTCCCTGCACTGAGCAAAGGTTCTTTGGGTAAATTCAGTAACATCTCTAGCCATAAAATGGTACTTCATAAACTTGGGTCTTTCTTTTTGACTAGTACAAAAATATCCAAGGCAACCAGGACATAAAATGGCAGAATAGATTCTTTGCCAAGAGACTTACCGTACTAAAGTACACTGTATGAAATTCCAGACTGTGTGGATGCTTATCAACTCGGGAGAGATACTGCTTTATAACAACAGATGCAGGTTACCAGCAGTCTTTGATCTTGATTTGTGATCTTTTAAGTTCAATGAAGGCAAGCAATGAAGAATATTTTTGCATATCACATCATGTTGGGTTAATAGGTAAATTTGATTATTTGGCGAGAAATTACCTTCAGAAGGGGGAACCGCTGTTGTGTTTATTAGGTGAAACTCGTAACTGGAAGGGCTATTGAGTTTTTAAAGATTACTAATTGAAACTGTATATTGAATATGATTTCATAATAAAGCGAGTTTCTAAATCTGAACAGATTTCGAGGATGAGAGAAAAAAAATTTGTCAACTTTAAAATTTTGTTAATTATACCTTCAGGTGGAATATTCATGTAAAGAAATCTGTTTAATATTGAATTTGCCACACTTGGTTCTTAACACACTTAACAAAATTATAAATAGTCTAAATTTTGTAGGACAATCTTTCTCCCTTACCATACATTCTTTAAATGTCATCCTTGAACTTCCAGTCAAATACCATTAGCAGTCAATGTTCCTCAATTAAACTGGACCACAAAGTACAATCAGACATAAGATGGTTGAAGCTATTTCCATTGTATGGTTTACTGGACCACAAAGTACAATCAGACATAAGATGGTTGAAGCTATTTCCATTGTATGCTTTACTGGACCACAAAGTACAATCAGACATAAGATGGTTGAAGCTATTTCCATTGTATGGTTTACTAGACCACAAAGTACAATCAGACATAAGATGGTTGAAGCTATTTCCATTAGTATATGGATTATATAAACAGCTGCAGGCTGCCAAAAAGGAAAAAATCAGAATGAATGGCATAAAAAATTAAAAAAATTCCTATTCTCATACCTCCTCCAAAATAACACTAATCTAAATCCAGTAAAAGACTAGGAAAATAAAATATCCTTAGAAAATCTAGATATGAAGGATTTGCAGTTGTGAATAAGGATAAAATATTGTATACCCACCCAGTTTTTGAGATTGAACTTGTAAATGGACAAGAAGAAGCTTTGGACAATATTCAGTTATGAGAGAGCACCAATGCCTTTAGAGCAACAGTTCTTAACCTTTTCTTCCCCATTTGGCCATTACCAAACAATTATTTCTCCCTCACCCATACACCTTAGGATAAATGGCACTAGCCAGTGGTTCTATGCTGCTCACCAACAAGAAATTTTAAACAAAAATAGTGATTCAAGTGAAAAAATGCAGGAAGCAAATGCCCTGTAACTCGGTTAAGGGAAAATTTTTGTGGCATAAAATAAAACAAATATAAAATTCAAAAGTTCTCTTTTCTCCTCTAACTTACCAATATTTTCCCTAGGTTAAGAACACTTGTTCTAGGCCAAAATGGAGTTCCCAAGACTTTAATCCATTATGAAAAGTTTCCAAATGATCTAAGCAAGACTGGAAAAGGGAGGATATGAATACAGTACATGTGCTCCCAAACATTCCAACTTAAGGAGAAAACTCCCACTTTATATGATCGTTCTTGATGGATAGATAAAATAAACACCAGGAGTTTCTTGCTTCTTGTATCTGCCACTATGAACAACACCACCAGGAACTAACATCCAAAGATAGAATCCATCAGAGAGTTTGAACACTTAAACTACATTCAGAAGGTAATGCCTCCCTAGACAAAGCAACTGCTGTCATTCAAAGTACCAGCAATATGCCTCTTTGCGAAACACAGCACTATGGAAATTCCTCACTACATAAAGGACTGATGACTCCTGTTTATTAATACAGGCCACTGCAGATATGTAACTGCCAAAGAAAACAGAGCTTCTCCCATGATGTGATTTTCCTGCAAAATGGAAGAAGAAAAGAGGAACCAAAAGCTCTCTCAAGTTTAGGTTAAGTTAATATTCACTGAAAATTATGAGGTTGCATTACTGGGCAGGTATACACCTCATCTAATTCCATGGTTAATTGGTACAGTTGGCTTAATAGAAAATGAGAAAATTTGAGGCTGATGGAAACATTTTGTCTCTCTTCGAGATATCGGGTAGTAGGTAGTATGCAGTACTGTACTACCTTCTATCTCGAGGAGATGTCAGATTTCTCCATTGGCCACAAATTTTCTCACTTGCTATGATGTCAAATGTACATCCTTGATATCACAGAAGCCAAACCACCTTGAAGCAATGTTGGTTTGACAGTGAACAATGGTTACATTTTATTTATTTTTATATACGGTACATGAACTAAAATGTTGAATCAACAAACAAAACATCAGTTCAATGAAATGTCAATATATTCCCAACAGAAGTTTAACTAATACAGTACAGTATATTGATAAAATAAAAATGTTCACATTTAATCATTTATAGTATTTTTAGCAATGATGTGTAAAAATATGTGAGAGCATAATGAAGTTATGTTGCTAAGTGATAACCCCATTAACTGGAAAAATTGGTGCAGAGTTCTTTGAGAATGAGAAATTTCTGGGCATTGAGACAAATTTTCTCTTCCCCTGAAAAAATCCCACATGGCAACCTCTGTCATCTGCGATTGATATTTTAACACCCCTATTTGATAATCACAAAGCATAACCCACTTATTCACAAATCAAAAATACCCTACAGTAATATTTCAAACCAGGTGGGCTGGCTGCACCTCTCATATTCCAATGTAAGGTCCGCTTCACACTAGCGTTCTTTTCTGCACGAATGGACCCGAGCGGTTTCGAAAGTAATGAAGTTCCATGGGACAAAACATGGAAATTATGAAGTAATTTAGTTTGGGAGGAAACAGTCAGTAATTGTTTTCATAATATAAATTACATTAAACCCTCGAAAGTCCAGATAACTTGGGGGAGAAATGAGGGTCCAGACTTGTCGATTGTCTGGACCTTTACCAAGTTTTTTTGGGGGGTTCTGGAGGCCACTGTGCACTAAGCAGTCATTCATTACAACCCCCCCCCTCCCCAACACCACCACACATACCAACACCACCCACACATACCAACACACCCCAACATCACCCAAAAAAAAACCACACACACACACATCAGGCCCGGATTATGGGGAGGGCGTATGCCCAGGGCCCCCCCACAACATTGTAAAAAAAAAGTTTTAAAAACCTTTACCACAGAGCAATAAAAAAGTGGAACAGATTGGCTAACACTCGCTGTGCACCACTTACCGTAACTCCACCAGGCCACCACAAATATTTCCTACTAAAACTCATGTTTGGTGAACCGATTTAACTTATTTAACACAGAGATTATAATAAAATAATAAAAAGGCTGTATAAATAAGTGAACACTACACCACACAACTGGCCGCATGATGTTGGTGGTGCCACTGGCGTGCCGATCAGTTTGTTTACCGTACAACCAGCTGATGCAAATGGCAAATTGTAGGTCCGGCGTAAAGTACGGTAGAATGTATTCTACTCTCATGACACTATGATATGTGCTGAGTAACCCATTACCGGGTAATGTTTTATTGGACATGTCGAGTTTGGCTTGATGGTGTTTATAGATAATGTAAGTTAGTGTTATTACCATGATAACTGATTGACATGCCTGTGTCAAAATGAAGGAAATGGTGTGTGGTGTAGTTTTCATTAAATTATACAGGTATTGGATTTTCACCATTTTATTATAAACTCTGTGTTAAAAAAGTTTACCCAACATGACTTTGGTTACTGTAAGTGGTGCACAGCGAGTGTTAGGTATCGGTAGGCTGTTTGGTATTACAGTATTATTATTATATTTTTTTTACCGCTGTGGTAAAATGGGGTCGAGAGGTTGGTATAACTTCATATTATGTCCCCTTAAACCATCCTTAGATGATATTATACCCTGTATATATTTTATGTTAGCTGTCTTGGCAGCTCTGTTTATGAATGATAGGAGTTGGTAAAGGTGATTAATATAGTTGGGATCTCTGCATGCAAGTATTGTTTCGCTCTATGAAATATTATATTATATTCGAGTAGATTAACGCTCAATTAATATTTTTTCCTTCTTTTTTCGGGTTTGAGTCCCGTTTGACACTCCAGGACCTTTGAGAAAGAACCACGCACACGTGAATGAATGAACCACTGTGCGTCGATTCACACACAGAGAAACACACTATATCTACAAGTGACATAGATCGGCATTGCAACAGGCCACCTCGTGAGTACAAAAGTGGTGCCAAAAAGAGAAAAGTATCTCAACAGAGGGAACAAAGGAAAGAGGAACAGTTGTCAAATATGCCAAAACTCACTGGCCTTTTCAAAAAATCAAGCACCACAACCAAAGGAAGTAGTCTTGAGACTGAAGAGAGCAGCAAGGAGGTTGATGAAAGAAGTAATCCTGAGGCTGAAACAGAAACTAAAGATACTAGGGAGGAGGTTGATGAGAAAGCAAATGAAGAATGTGAAGAAGAAAAGCAAGGAGATGAAACAGCAGAAAATCAGAGTCACTGATGAAACAAATACATGTGAAACGAGCTGTGATATTGGATTATGGCCACATAAAGTTATCAGTGAAATGATTGACTATTGGGCAAAAAAGGGATCCAGCGACCTACAAAATAGTACTGAAGATTTATTTTAGAAATCAATGATTCAAGAAGATAACAGGAAAAGTACAAGTCCATCACCATTTTACCATAAGTGTACGCCAGCATTGTTTGTTATAAAAACAACAAATGGGGAATGCATCAATCGTCCATGGCTCTGTTTCTCACCCAATACAAATAAAGTTTACTGTTTTGTTTGCAAACTTGTCTCAACTAAAGATGTGGCATTATCCACTACTGGCTTCTGCGATTGGAAGCACGCCACAGAAAGTTTGTTCGAGCATGAAACTTCAAAGCCTCATTTGGAGGCTGTAAGGTTAGTTACACATCGTGGAAGAACTCCAGGGCATATACACGAGGAGCTTGAAAAGCAAGAAACCGAAGCATGGGCTTATTGGACTTATGTGCTCAAACGTGTGGTGAGCACTATCAAGTTTATAGCAGAGCGCGGTCTGGCTTTTTGTGGCAATGACGAACTAGTGGATTCTCCTACAAATGGTAATTATCTCGGCATCTTAGAACTTATTTCTGAATATGACAATTTCCTTGCAGCACATATTAAAGTACATGCTAACAAGGGTACTGGGCACACCAGTTATTTGTCCTCAACGATATGCGAAGAGATCATTGCCGTAATGGGCGAAAATGTATTGCGAGAAATTGTGTCGAGAATTAGGCAAAGCAAATATTTCTCTGTATCCGTGGACTCGACTCCCGATGAAGCTCACATAGATCAACTAACAGTAATCATTTGATACTTGTAAAACACTTGTGTGAAAGAAAGATTCTTAACATTGCTACCAAATGCCAGCCATACTGGTATTGCCTTGGCCACTGCTGTGCTCAACTTTTTTAAGGAAATAGGCATCAATTTAGATGATTGTCGTGGGCAGTCATATGATAATGCCGCCAATATGAGGGGAAAGTACAATGGTATGAAAGCTCATATTCTGGAGAAAAACAGTTTAAGTACATTTGTACTATGTGCACATTCACTTAATTTAGTTGCAAAATCAGCTGCTAGTGCATGCCCAGCAGCAGTTTATTTCTTTGATTTCATCCAAGAACTCTACAATTTTTTCACAGCCTCTACGTGGCATTACAATGTCCTGAGAACAGCATTATCTGAAGGAAAGTTCCTGATGGTAAAGTCACTGAGTGAAACACGCTGGTCGTGCTATTTGATGCTGTTAGAGCACTTGTGTGCAGTTACTAAAAAATAATAGATACTCGGTAGTTTAGAAAAAATTGGATCTGATAAAGAGCAGAAAGATATCGTACAAAATGCTGCAAACAAGCTTCATAAGCAGATGCTGAAACTGGAAACAGCCTTCTATGCTGTCTTCTGGAATGACATTCTACAAAGATTCACTGTGACGAACAAACTTCTTTAAGATCCAAAACTAATTCTTAAATCAGCAGTAAATTCGCTGGTTTCCTTGAAATGTTTCGTTGAAAGAAAGCGAGACAGTTTTGATGCCTAGAGGAAAAAGCAAAAGATCTGGCAGGAAGCACTGAGTTTGTCCATTCAGGTCGTCAGAGGGGATCAAATGTACGGCTCGCTCCACTGAATTATGGACGTTCAAGTGAAGTGGATCTCAGTCCAAGAGACAATTTCCGAACAAAATGCTTCCTCACAGTCATTGATCACCTAGTGGTATCCCTAAACGAAAGGATTTCTTCATACACGTTGGTGAAGGATCGCTTCGGCTTTTTAAGCAATCTGGAAACCATGTCAGCTGATGCCATTCATTCTGCTTCAGAAAATCTTCAGCAAACTTATGGAAAAGATATTGATGAAAACATCTCCAATGAAATGACTCAATTCTCGTCTCTGGTAAAGTTGTATGCAAAAGCCGTGGATGAGCCCAACGAGTATTTTTATTGCAGAATTATAAAGGAAAACGATGGCTTACACACACCCCCAACACCATCCACACCCTAACACCAGCCACACCCTAACATCACATACCCCCAACACCAGCCACACCCTAACACCAGCCACACCCTAACATCACATACCCCCAACACCAGCCACACCCTAACATCACATACCCCAACACCAGCCACACCCTAACATCACACACCCCAACACCATCCACACAACATCACATACCCCCAACACCAGCCACACCCTAGCATCACACACCCCCAACACCAGCCACACCATAACATCACACACCCCAACACCAGCCACACCCCTATCACATACCCCAACACCATCCACACACCCTAACATCACGCTTACCCCCAACACCAGCCACACACCCTAACATCACACAACACCAGCCACGGACACCATCCACCCCTAGCATCACATACCCCCAGCCACACACCATCCGTCCACACCCTAACATTACACCCCCAACACCAGCCACACCTAACATCACATACCCCCTGGCACCATCCACCTAACATTACACCACACCAGCACCCTAACATACAACACCAGCCAGCCACACCAACACCATCCACACCCAACATCACATACCCCCAACACCAGCCACACCAACACTCACACACCCCAACACCAGCCACACCCCAACACCATCCACACCCTAACATTACACCTCCCCAACACCAGCCAAGCACCCCAACATCACATAATTCCCAACACCATCCACACCCCAACACACACCCCAACACCAGCCACACCCCAACATCACATACCCCCAACACCAGCCACACCCCAACACCATCCACACCCCTAACATTACACACCCAAACACCAGCCACACCCAACACATCACACACACCCCCAACCTACCACACCCCAACACCAGCCACGCCTAACATCACGCACTTCTACCACCAGCCACACCCCAACACCATCCACACCCAAACACCACACACCCTAACATACACACCCCCAACACCAGCCACACCTTACAACATCACACACCCCAACACCAGCCACACCCCAACACCATCCACACCCTAACACCAGCCAATAATCTCAACATACACACCCCAACACCAGCCACCATAACATCACACACCCCCAACACCAGCCACACCCCAACACCACACACACCCCAACACCATCCACACCCTAACATCACACACACCAGCCACACCCCAACACCATCCACACACCAGCCACACCCCAACACACCCCCAACACCAGCCACACCACAACATCACACACCCCAACACCAGCCACACCCCAACACCATCCACACCCCTAACAACACCAGCCACACCCCAACATACACACCCCCACCAGCCACACCATAACATCACACACCCCAACACCAGCCACACCCCAACACCAGCCACACCCAAACACCAGCCACACCCTAACATCACACAATCCCCAACACCAGCCACACCCCAACATCACACAACCCCCAACACCATCCACACCCAAACACCCAGCCACACCCTAACATCACACACCCCAACACCAGCCACACCCCAACATCACACACCCCCAACACCAGCCACACCATAACATCACACACCCCCAACACCATCCACACCCCAACACCACATCCACACCCAAACACCAGCCACACCCTAACATCACACACCCCACCAGCCACACCCAACATCACACACCCCAACACCAGCCACACCCCAACATCACACACCCCAACACCAGCCACACCCCAACATCACACACCCCAACACCATCCACACCCAAACACCAGCCACACCCTAACATCACACACCTTCAACACCAGCCACATCTCCCAACACCATCCACACCCAAACACCAGCCACACCCTAACACACAATTCCCCCAACACCAGCCACACCCTAACATCACACACCCCAACACCAGCCACACCATAACATCACACAATCCCAACACCAGCCACACCCCAACACCATCCACACCCAAACACCAGCCACACCCCTAACATACACATCCCCAACACCAGCCACACTTAACATCACACACCTTCAACACCAGCCACAATTCCCAACACCATCCATGCCCAAACACCAGCCACACCCCAACATCACACACCCCAACACCAGCCACACCCCAACACACACCCCCAACACCATCCACACCCAAACACCAGCCACACCCCTAACACCACACACCCCCAACACCATCCACACCCCAACATCACCAATTCCCCAACACCAGCCACACCCCAACATCACACACCCCCAACACCATCCACACCCCAACATCACACACCTCAACACCATCCACACCCAAACACCAGCCACACCCTAACATCACACACCCCCAACACCAGCCACACCCTAACATCACACACCCCCCAACACCATCCACACCCAAACACCAGCCACACCAACATCACACAATTTCAACACCAGCCATACCCCAACATCACACACCCCCAACACCAGCCACACCCCAACATCACACACCCCAACACCATCCACACCCCAAACACCAGCCACACCCCAACATACACACCCCAACACCAGCCACACCCCAACACACACCCCAACACCAGCCACACCCCTGGGCCCACATCCACACCCAAACACCAGCCACACCCAACATACACACATCCCAACACCAGCCACACCCTAACATCACACACCCTCAACACCAGCCACACCCCAACACCATCCACACCCAAACACCAGCCACACCCCAACATCACACCCCCAACACCAGCCACACCTCCTAACATCACACACCCCCAACACCACATCCACACCCAAACACCAGCCACACACCCTAACATCACACACCTCAACACCATCCACACCCTCAACATCACACACCCCCAACACCATCCACACCCTAACATCACACACCCCCAACACCAACAGCCACACCCCTAACATCTACACACCCCAACACCATCCACACCCTAACATCACACACCCCTCAACAACACCATCCACACCCAAACACCAGCCACACCTAACATCACACACCCCAACACCAGCCACACCCCAACATCACACAAATCTCAACACCAGCCACACCCTAACATCACACACCCCCAACACCATCCACACCCCACCATCCACACCCAAACACCAGCCACACCCTAACATCACATGCCAATCCCTCAACACCAGCCACACCCCAACATCACACAACTTCAACACCATCCACACCCAAACACCAGCCACACCCTAACATCACACACCCTCAACACCATCCACACTCTAAACATCACACACCCCCAACACCATCCACACCCTAACATCACACACACCCCCAACACCAGCCACACCCCCAACATCACACACCCCCAACACCATCCACACCCTAACATCACACACCCCCAACACCATCTGTCCACACCCAAACACCAGCCACACCCTAACATCACCATCAATTCCCCAACACCAGCCACACCCTAACATCACACACCCCAACACCAGCCACACCAACATCACACACCCCCAACACCATCCACACCCAAACACCAGCCACACCCCAACATCACACACCCCAACACCATCCACACCCAAACACCAGCCACACCCCTAACATACACACCCCCAACACCAGCCAAGCACCCCTAACATCACACACCCAACACCAGCCACACCCCAACACCATCCACACCCAAACAGAAACAAAATTCTAACATCACACACCCCAACACCAGCCACACCTCAACACCATCCACACCTCCAAACACCAGCCACACCCAACATCACACACCCCCAACACCAGCCACACCCTAACATACACACCCCCAACACCAGCCACACCATAACACACACCCCAACACCAGCCACACCAACATCACACACCCTCAACACCAGCCACACCCCCAGCATCACACAACCCCAACACCAT